ATAGATTTGTATGAATAGAATATGTATTCTTTTGGTTTTTAGTTTATTTTGTTTACAGTATTTAATGGGTTTTTAATTTTTTAGGATAGATTTGTATGAATAGAATATGTATTCTTTGGTTTATCTGATTTGGTTTATTTTGTTTCTGGCATATCAAACACAATGGTTTATTTAATGCCGACAACATTTTTAGGATAGATTTGTATAAATAGAATATGTATTCTTTGGTTTGGATTGGTTTGGTTTATTTTGTTTAATGACATATCAACCTCAATGGATTATTTAATGCCAACAACATTTTTAGGATAGATTTGTATGAATAGAATATGTATTCTTTGGTTTGGATTGGTTTGGTTTATTTTGTTTAACGACATATCAACCTCAATGGATTATTTAATGCCAACAACATTTTTTATTGCTTGTAATATTTTGTTTTGTCAAAAATCTGTTTCTGGTAATATGTTTCCTTCAAAATTGTATTGCTGGTAACAATTTTTTTCAAAAAAGTATTGCTGGTAATAGTTAACAATTTGCCCATAGCTAGGACCCTAACAGGTGCTACCACCCAGGTCAGGGTGGACCTGGGAACACCAGCAATTAAGAGGAGGTTACACGTTCCTCAAAACCTCAGCAGAGGTCTTCCTGCTGGACATAGTTTAACATCTTACCCAGACGTAGTTTAACGTCTTACACAGGACAACTAAAATTAATGAAGCTCTTATAAAAAAACAATAACTCTTAACAACATCAACCATGAACACAGCCATAATGTACTGGCCATATTCAAAAATTAAGGATATATCTACCTTTCAGCAAGCTTTAGGTTGTTCACAATAACATTTACATACCATTTACAATGGTGTAATGAAAATCCTTGAAAATGGCTAAGAAATCACTCAAAATCACCTAGAACAGAGAATCATTTGGACAATTTCAATACCAAGTCCAAAAAATATAATAAAAACCATACCAGAAGTATCTTTCCAGTTATCTTTAATGAAACATGTATTAGAGTAGGAGTGTTGCCCCAATACACAACTATAAATTAAACATACACTGATATGTCAAAAGTAATAGGATAGCAGTGAGGGTAAGGGTTGTTGGCACCACCATACACTGACATCATTGAAATGTTCATGCCTGTATCAGTGAGACTGACATCTTGTGAGTCAGTATGAACACCAGCACAATGGCTTGTAGCAAAGGGACATGAAGTATCAGAGTTTAAATAAGACATGATAGTAAGTGCTAGACATTCAGTTTCTGAAATTGCAAAGATGTTTGACATCCTTTGATCTAGAACACCATGTGTGTATCAGGAATAGCTAATGGGAAACATAACCATAGCACACTTAGTGAGCATAGGTGCTGAATAATTGCAACCTGTGGTGCCTAGTTAAAATGTCTGCAGTAACAGGCAAGCGACAGTGACTTAAATTATATCCATGGTTAATACAGAAAGTACCAGATGCATATTCAGTAGACCAATTTCTTTTTTTTAGCTTCTATGAGGTATGGGAGCAGAAGAACCGCTAGGGTGCTCCTGTTAACACTAGCTACAGCTAATCACCTGGGCTCATGATTTTGTTAACTGGACTCTGAAGGATTAGTGAAGTGTGGAATGGTCACAGTTCCATTTGTTGATGGTAAGGTTGGGAGTGTGTTGCTTTTCATAATTTAATTTCTGAAATGATAATAATGATTGTGACAATAATAACATCTATATCAGTCAAGATGAGAACAATAGTTTGAAATAATGCAATATTGACTAATTACTCATCTTGGAAATGAAATACTAAAATTATGAAAAGCAGTACGAACCCATCATCATAACCAAATGTCAAAAACCATCTGACATTGAAGATAAAAAGTCTCCCAAAACACACCACTTTGGGACGGTGGATATAGAATTTAGTCATACCTGTGTTACTGTCATTTGGTGGTCATGAGTTCAATCCTAGGATCCAGTAGTGGAGCACTAATTAAGGATTAATGAACAATAACTGACATCACAATAATCAACAGATATTCAATATCAGCCAATCAATGGACACCTGATGATGACCAAAGGGTACTTGGTCGAAACGTTGTGTCTATAATAACATTTATATCAACTGAAAACTGTAGTCCAAAATAATACAAGAATACTGACAATTACTCATCTCAGGAATATTAAATTATGGTGTGAGATATGAATACATCATTGACTAGTGGCAGCTATGTTGCATTGATTTGAGAACATTTGTACCCCAGTAATGATAGATAATTCCAGCAGTGACACACCTTATATCAGTTGCCCAGAAATTGTTTGAGGATCATTCTGGACAATTGTAATAAATATTAATATTGTTTAAAAGTTGCTATATTTATAAAGGAAGAAAGTCTAATGTCAGATATAGAGCCTTTATAACGAGTGTGGACATAGGAATCTCTTGCCAGCTTTAGAAGATTCCCACCTGTTCTTCTCTTTGGCTACTTTTGCTGACCCTCCCAATGTACATCTGATTCATATATATCAAGAATGTATTGATGCAATTTGACCATTAATTTATGTTCTTCAAAGTCTCTTTTATTCTGGAAGCACATGATCAGGTAGCCACTTGACTGAATTCCGACAACCTACTTCCCCCAAACTATACTTTTTCCTTGAAAAATATGTCTTTATGCAAAAAAACTTTATAGACCATTGGCTTTATCAATATTTGTTTTTTAAAATCTTTTCTCTGAAATTCTGCCTAAGAAACCACACCTAATCATTGACGTTTTTCACACAAACATTATCAAAACAACTGAGAGATTGGAGTAGTTATCATGAAATTTTGAAGTTGGTATTTTTCAAATTAAATATTAATAAAATCATTGATATATATTTTTACATTTTATAAATGCTTAAAATTTTTCATATGAAGCAAAGCATTTTTAAATAGAATTGCCATGGTAATGACTTTTTCCTTAGATTTTTTCAATTGTTTTGATAATGCTCACACAAAAGGCATGAAACATCAAATTTAAACATCCAACTGCTTTTCAAGTATTTCACAATATGTTAGCAATAGGAACACAAATATAAAAAGCGGTTGAACATATTTAGAGAATATTAATAATAAAGATATTAACTAAAGATAGTGTAACATAAGCTTGCAAGTGTTAACATGCACTGTTGTGTTGTTACAGTATGGTTGCCTGGCTGTACTGGCCCATTTTGGGAAAAAATAGGAAATTACCATTTACTGGAAATAAATGACTATAAAGATGTTTACAATTTTCCATGTGAGCTGCTTTTTTAGTTTCGATCATGTAATCTACAATAGAAACTAAACCTAATGAAATTACCAACACATAATATGAAAATACATAAAACAGTTTGTATTGCATGTTACTATATGTCTAAACTAGTTGGAAAATAGTACTAAGCACTTGTTAGTTCATCGCACTAAAACAAGGGACTAGCTTGGTTTGGTTTGGTTTGGTTTGTTTTACGGTATATCAACCTCAATGGGTTATTTAATGCCAACAAGATTTTTATTGCTGGTAATAATTTTTTTTTTTTTGAAAAAATGTATTGCTGGTAATATTTTTTTTAAAAAATGTATTAATTTTTCTTCAAAAATTTACTGCTGTTAATTTTTTTTTACAAGAATGTATTTCTGGTATTAAAACCTATTTTTACACTTACATAGTGTTTTGACCCCAGTTTGGGGGTAAACTATTTATCCATAGCTGGGACCCTAACAGGTTCTATCACTCCTGGTCAGGTTGGACCTAGGAACACCAGCATTTAAAAGGAGCTTCCACACTCCTCAAAACCTCCTGATCAGAGGCCTTGCTGTTGGACGTAGTTTATCGTCTTACCCAGGATGCAGATGTAGTTTATTGTCATACCCAGGACAGCAAGGGACTGGCAATTTAAGGTGTCTTGAAAATATGTTTGTCAACGGCAGGCAATGTAAGTTTTGTGAAGATGTAAACTTTCTAAACTCTATATTAACACTTTCACTTCTGCATTGTTATAACAACATTGTTGCCCATTTTGTAGAAAAAATAAGAAATGAACATTCATTAGAAATAAATGACTATAAAGGTGTTGATGGTGATTTCTCATTTTGGTTTTGATCAGGTACTCTGCAGTCATGAAACTAACATGTAATATAATAAAAATACAACGCAAAACAGGTTGTACTATATGTCTACATTATTTTCAAAATAGCACTGTTACTTGGGTTATAACATAAACACTAGGGGCCAACATTTTAAGGTACCTTGAAAATGTGTATATATATATATATCTGCCATATATGGTTTGTAGTCCCTTCTGTTTGCTTCAAGGTCCTTGATAAAATCTAGAGATGGATATGCAATGTAATTGGCTCTGATCTGGCTTCTTGTCTGCAGCTGCTCTCTTACAGACGTGTCGTCGCCCCCCCCCTCTGTCTTTTTTACAAATACTTTCACGGTAACTGTTCCAATGAGCTGCTTTCGCTGGTTTCCAGACTTCATGAATTTAAGCGTTCAACTAGGCTGGCATCTCGCTATCCACCTTTCACTATCGAAACTGTTAAATGTAGCCGTCTCTTCTACTCCATTAGCTTCATGTCTCTCCCTTCTTGCCTGTGGAACTCCCTCCCTTTTTCCTGTTTCCCTGATAGCTATAATCTCCAACTATTCAAATGTAATGTCAATCAACGTCTCCAGATGCCCTGGTCTATCCCTTATCCTTCTCTTCATCCTTTCCTCTATCACTCCTCTTGCTCTAATTCTCTGTAACCCCTTGCATGCTAGTGGCTTCCTGCCTTGCTTGGGATGAAACGCTTGAAAAAAAAAAAAAAAAAAAATTGTCAACAGCAATCTGTAAGATTTTGTAGCAAAATATCATTCTGTTTGGACTTGTGTGTAAATATCTGAGTTTAGAGTTAAGTTGAAAATAAATAAGAACTGAAAAATGTTTCAGAAAAACTCTGGTCATTGCAAAATGTTTGCAAATAAAAATAAAATCTGTTTACCTGATTGTTGTGGAGGTCAAGTACATCAAGTTTTGATAAAGAATCCAAGTTTTGAATCTTCTTGATTCTATAACAACAAGGCAAAAGACCCACGTTTACTGAGAAGAAAAAATGTCATTTTAGGGCATATGATAATGCCTGAATTCAATTTGCCAAAATGACATTATTTGTGACTGAAACTGTTGAATAACTTTATTGCATGCTTCTCAATCACCCAGATTCCCTTTTTCCCAAAAAATGAAAGACTTTCATATTCTATTTATATACGTTGTCCCTTCATGGCCCTCCACAGTTTCCTTTCCTTTGTTAAGTAAAAGAATACAAGTAAATGAAAAAATACAGCAAGCAAATTTAAAGGCAAATGTAGTTTGGAGGCAAAAAATTAATAGTCTCACCAACCGTTTTCTCAACTTTGGTCTCAATGGGGACATAAATTTTCGTCTTATTGCTTATCTATGTCTTCTATGTTGTCTTCTAGTTCTTTGCACTCTATTTGACCTTTACCTCCACTTTTCTGATTTAGGTCTGTCTCTGCATGGATACTAAAAACAATATAAAGGGACCTCTTCTTTGTCTTGATTCATTTTTATAATTACCACCTTTACCCACAATCCTTCACTGCATTCTGATTGTGGTCACCACCATAAGTGATTAATGCTCTACCTTACACCTTCTAGGATTCACTCTGTTTCTCAGTTCACAGCAGGTAAGTTTTCTTTTGTTAATTAACAAGAACAAATGTAAAATATAAATATATTCAGAGATAATTTTAATCTAAGTTCACTTAAAATATTAACAGATGCACTCATTGGTGAGCTGAGTAGAGCTAGGTCAGTTTAAATAATTTCTTTTTGAAGATTAGCAAAATACTTGGGAAATATATTAGAACAAAACCAACCTGGGTGCAAACTGTCTGCAAATGGATAGAAGATGAATAAAACAACACATGAAATAATAACACATCAGCAAAATTAAAATTACAATGGACCAAAATTATTTATGAGTTCAAATACCCGTTAAGGAACTGTGTTTCTGATCAAACTGAATTCATAAATAATTATATTGGTCACACTACTACATTCCTATCCAGACGACTTATCTAACCACAGCTCCATAAATAATTCATTTAAACACACACATACACACACAAACTTACCAGACTCCATTAGAAACATACTAGTAGAAAATACAAATATAATAACCCTGTCCACATTTAAAAACAAGATTAAAAATAATGGAAGCCTTAATAATAAAAAAGAAAAAGCCAACACTTAACAATATTAACTATGAACATGGCCACAATGTGCTGTGTTTGGGAAATAAAACATCCCTATAACTCTAAAAACATACACAACCCATACAGCCAGTTAAAAAGCAAAAATAAAAGCATCCTTGATAATGGTTAAAAGTATAGCTAAAAGCGCTTGGAATTACATATGGACAGTTTCTACACACTCTGTGTCCAGAAAAGAAAACACTTGTTCAAAGACAAGAAAAAATAAATAAAAAGCTTACTCGTAATACCTTGTCTGTTGTCTTTAATGAAACATGTATAAATGAAAGACTGCTGCCTAATACACCATAGATTATGAAGTAGACAAAAAATAGCAAAAGGTACAAGACAAGGATGCGCCTTCTCAATGGACTGATTTAACATATGCAGCAAGAGAAACCTGAGAGAAGAAGAAGACCAAACAGGATTCATTATTGATAGGCTCAATCTTAACATAAAATACACAGACGACTCTGTGATAATAGCAGACTTAGAAAACTGAAGGAACTTCTTGACAGGGTAGTAAAGAAAATAAGGAAGAAAGAACTCTCAATTCTAAAAAGACAAAAGATATGGTCATTAGCAAAAGGGACGGAACAAAATACAAATTGGATGACAAAATCAGGCAAGTACGAAATTGAAATATCCAGAAAGTGTTTTAACAGATAATGGAAAATGTAAAACCAAAATCCAAAAGTGCATTGGAACATCGAAAGATGCCTTTCAAAAGCTAAACCAAGTATTAAGAAATAGAAATTATTTTATTAGAAACAAAGAAAAGAGTGCTGAACTACTATGTAATATCAATCCTCCTATATGGCAGTGAATGCTGGACAATTTCCTCACAGATGATTAGAGGACTTTAGGTACAAGATATACTACAGACGAATTCTGAGAATATTATGAACAAGAGGAACATGTGAATGTTGAAGAAATTTTAAGGAAAATGGAAACAAAAAGGACACTTGTACTTAAAAACAGAAAGAGACAGTTGATATTTCTGGTACACATAATGAAGAAAAAAGAGCTTGGAGAATTTGACACTCACAGGGCATAGTGAAGGCAAGAGGAGCAGTGGAAAAGAGCACATAACCTATCTAGCAAGCTTGTATAAAACAATGGCAGAACTGGGAATGTAAGGGATAGTGCTATGGTCCAGTTCCTTGTGCCACAGTGATAGTCCAAGGTAGAACCAATAAAGAAGAACTCGAAATCGGATATGGAATAACACAGATATATTACAAACAGGAATATATACAGAGAGGTAGAAAAGTGTTAGTACGAACAATCAGGTTTAGTAGTAATTGTCTGAACGCAACTGTTTCGGACTGCCTCAGACTCGACTCTTGACTTGACTGAATGACTTGCTCGCTCGCTCACTCTGACTGACAGACTCTTGACGGACTTCTGATGGACATCACTCCAGACGGAACTCCTGCTTCCTCTTGAGGCGCAGTATTTATTACGTATGGAATAGTCCATTATGTTATTATGGGTAAGGTCCCATAACAGATAGTAAGGAGACAAACATTACTTAGAGTTTACAAACGATAGGAGGTTGTGGAGAGCCATGACCATTCACATCCTGAAGAGACACAAATAAAAGTAGTACAGTTTATTTATCAATGTATATGTTGTCACTCAACCTAGATGGGCCAAATTAAACAATTTAATATATGAAAATGAGTACAATTTACTTATTTACCCATGAAATGGCCTTTGCTATTTTACCGAGTATGCAGTGCTTGTGGCCCTTTGTTTACTTACTTGTTTTTACCAAGCATAAGTACCCGTAGGGATTTCAGACTACTAATTCCTTGAATTTCCTCAATTTGGTTGTCATAAAGATCAAGAAAAATGAGTTTCTTTAAGTAGCCAACATGTTGTATCTTTTGGATGAGATTATGTTGGTAATTTAGCAGGCGCAGCTGTTCCTCTCCCTCCAGGATGGGACACACAGTTAGGCGACGCCTATTATAATAAAACAGCAATAAATTTAATATCGTGATGTACAGAATACTAAATTGAAATATCTCAGAAGTAAAATTTACACATAGATTTATTTTTTATATCATAAATAATTTACTAATTAATATATACATTGTAAGAAAATTATATAATCAAATTGTTTTTGTCTATATTTCTGAGATGTGTTGTAATTATATACATTGTTGTCCTCATCTTCATTACCATATTCATGACATTTCGGCCGTTGTACGCTCTGGCCTTCTTCAGGTGATTGGAATTTCAAACTGGACCCTTTATTTTGTCCGCCAGGGTAGATGGTTCTGGTTCCATGCATCTTTCAAATGTCTCAGTTATTTCCCTTTAACTAAAGTCTCCAAGTTTTGGTTCACCACTGCTGTGGCCTGGTATTGAACTCACAACTCTTTGGGTCTAGTCACTGGTCCATGCATCCTTGTGGATAAAATAAAGGGTTCGGTGCAAAATTTCAGTCTGTTATGTAGTGGTTTCACAGTGGAGGCTTGTAGTTGTACTAAGTCGGTCCTAAAATAGGTTCGACGTACAAAACGTTAGGAACTTGATATAATAGGTAATGACGCAGTAATCTAGTTGTGGTGGCTGATACTTTAATATCCGACTAACGGTTGTCTGACATCAACTGACTGACCAACTCCCTCCCGACTGCTACTACTACTCCTACTTATTATAGGTGGGAGAGTCCATTGTTCCACTATAACACAGTCACCTGAAGAAGGCCAGAGTGTATGCTGGCTGAAATGTTGTGATTATGGCAGTAAAGATGATGACAACAATCCGAACAATGTAAATAATTTAAACAATTTGTTGTTTTTTTTTATAGATTATATAATAGCCCCCTTGATTCTTAGTTGCATTATCACCTTGCTTGGAATAAAGAAAAAAAGAACAAATCTTTCAGCATTGAATGCTGAATGCATTTCTTGAAAATAGTTCCGAGGTTTAATGTTTTCTTGATGGTATTTAGAGAAAACGTTTTGTGCTCTTCTCTCAGTTTAGCCTGGTGTCTTTTGCAAGTTATTTAATACTAAATTGTGTCATACGGTTGATAAGAAAACTTAAATCTGTTTTGCATCAGAGTCAAAAAAAGGTAGACATTCATTTGCACCAGAGTCAAAAAGGTAAAAATACACCCTTGTGCAAATTAATTTGTTTGGCCTTGAAAAATATTGTGTCATCTGTGATTGCATCAGATTTTTGTCACACCTGGACACTATTGTTTCAACTGTCGATTAGTTGTCCATTGTCTATAATGGACGTTACTCTGAGGAAGCATATGAAACTTCTTATGATGCACAAACAGACTGGCAAGCCTTACCAGTGAGCAAATCAAACTACTATAGATTGGCCTGGAAAAATCGGGCTGCATTTAAGCTATCTCCTTGATTGGACCTTCATCACAATAGGTTAGAAAGGAGTAGAAGTGATAGGCAAAAATAAACTACAGAAGAACTCAAAACTGATTGCTGCATTTAAATGTTGCATTAATATTTAAGCTTACCTTTTAAAAGTTCAACGATAATTCTTCTGCTGTCACTTAATTTAAAGACAATTTAATGTACATAGGACAAACAATTATTTTTATTTCATAGGTGGCTTTCACTGGATTTTCCAATTAATTTTGATTATTCCCAAATTTATTTCCAAGTTATAAAAATTGTTATCATACAAAAAAATTATTGCAAAAAAAAAAATCACCGAAAACAATCGCAGTAATGAAAACTTGGGAATCCAAAATTTCAGGATTGCGTGTTTGGATCTGGTTCCCACCCAGAATGTTTTTAATTTGCTCATGGAGTTGGCCTGATTCCAAAATGGTATGATATGTTGGGCTATGGCCTCTAGGAGTAAAGTTGAAAAAGTGTGACACACTGACATTCACATTTATTATACAGATGTCTGTGGAAATTAATTCAAGCAAAGTCATGAAATTTATATAAGCAATAAAATCAATCAATCAGGTCGGCTTATATTACCTGTCCAAGTTGAGCCGGTCAGGATTAGCAGCCTTTTCTTCAGATGTTCGGTAAACAACAGGCACACCAGGGACGACTGGGCTTTCCATGAATATCACACGATCCCCTTTGAAAAGATGATGTATAAAGCTAAAATATGACTTTAATAGCATTTTCAAGGAAGAGAAACAAAATTTATAATAGTTGTTTTTTTAAGAGAGCCAGATGAAAAGAAAGGACAAAAGTTTCACAGAAAAGACTTGACTAAATTTGGATGCCAGCAAAGTGAACAGATTTTATGACCAGTAGAATGGAGACACTAAGTCTGTTTTTAATTTTAATGATCATACCAAGAAACAGCAAATACAACAGCCAGATCTTCCTGTCAGAAATAGTCTCAAATTATTTCATCATTTCCTGGTTTGGTTTGGTTTGGTTTGTTTTACAGCATATCAACCTCAATAGGTTATTTAATGTCGACAAAATTTTTATTGCTGGTAATATTTTTTTCAAATAATGTATTGCTGGCAATAATTTTCTCTGCAAAAATTTATTGCTTGTAATTTTTTCACAAAAAGATATTGCTGGTATTAAAACTGATTTTGACACCAGTTGGGGGTTAACTATTTGCCCGTAGCTGGGACCCTAACATGTGCTACCACCCCGGGTCAGGATAGATCTGGGAACACCAGCAATGAAGAGATGGTTCCACACTCCTCAAAGCTTCCTGATCAGAGGCCTTGATGTTGGATGTAGTTTATCGTCTTACCCAGGACAGGTCACTTCCTGGTACCCTTAATTTTAGCCATGGGGGTTCCAATTTCTTTGGATTTTTTACAAATATATTATGCATCATATTTCTTGAGATGCTACACTGATAAAAACTCTTGTGTAATATTTCACTCACTGTAATTTAGCCAAAAAATGTTTATTCAATTTATTAAGTAAAAATAAGATATTTTTTTTTTTAAGCGTTTCACCCCAAGTAAGGTGGGAAGCCACTAGCACACAAGGGGGTACAGAGAGTTGGAGCGAGGGCAAATAAGAGTGATAGAGGAAAGGATGAAGAGAAGGTTAGGGGATAGATCAAGGCATCTGGAGATGTCGATTGATATTACATTTGAATAGTTGGAGATTATAGCTATCAGAAAAACAGGAAAAGCGGAAGGAGTTCCACAGGTGAAAAGTGTGAGACATGAAGCTATTGGAGTAGAAGAGACGGCTACATTTAACAGTTTTGACAATGAAAGGGTGAGAGTGAGATGCCAGCCAGGTAGAACGCTTAAATTCATGAAGTCTGGGAACCAGCGAAAGCAGCTCATTGGAGCAGTTACCATGAAAGTATTTGTAAAAAAGACAGAGGGAGGCGACGGATCCATCTGTGAGAGAACGACTGCAGACGAGATGCCAGATCAGGGCCAATTACATTGCATATCTGTTTCTGGATTTTCTGAAGAAAAAACTTTTTGACATTAACACTATTGAACAACCTAAAGGTAACTGTCAATCTTGGTAGAGTTTTATTAGGTTAGCTGATCCCAGTTGGAGACAACTGCACAAGCATATTCTGTGTTTCTTCAACACCAACAGAGCCAACATGTGATTTATACTGCAATGATATAGAGCAGGCCTTAGTTATAGCTTCTGACAGGAACCACATAATCTAACAAGCCAGTACAATAAATCTCTTGGTCACAATGACAAGTGACTTCATGCTATTGGATATTATCAAAGAGTCATCTTTCTGACAATTCAACCATCTTGAACAACATGTTTACTATCTACTCCCAGTATCATTTGCCATCTTTCAGGGAACTTCATAATTCCATCCTTGTATATAGGTTTTTCATCTTTCTGTTTAAAAAAACTGCTCATGGTGCTTTTTGCAGTCTTAAAGGGAACTGAAATTTAACCGTTAAGGGAATTATGTAAAAGTCAAAATAAATGAAAACCAATCTGAAACCGCAATATCCAGAAAATAGGGCATACTGTATGATCACCAAAGTTAAGCAACACCGAGCCTGGTCAGTACTTAGATGGGTGACTGTTTGGGAATACCAGTTTGGATGTGCAGATATATACTGTTGAGGTGTGCATTTTCTAAGGTATTGGACACTGGATATGCAAGCTCTACTCATTATGCTAATGGTAAACTTTCTATAAAGCTTTGCAAGAGAATCTGGACTTTCCTGATACTCTTTTGTGATACCCAGGAATTCTTATGATTAATGTACCAAAAAGAACAAGGATGTCTCTTGTAAAGATTTTTTTTCTCCTTTGGGCTCAACTTCTTGTGGTGAATAGTCACATAGAAGCAAGCAAGCCAGAGTTGCTTGCATCTGATATAAAGGAAAATAAGGGTCTTACCTCAATATGCAGCATGTGGCATTCACATTTTTGCTCCTTGAAAATGGCATTACTCTCTCATCTAGCTATTTCAGCAGTATGTGCTATAACATTTCTTTTCTGTACAGTTTGGCATACTTCCACCAATAGCAAGTTGTGTGCTGATTGGTCGGACTGGAGAAGGCTATTTGCTTGGGTAACTGACAATAAAAGCGAAGAATGCTGATTGGTTGGTCGGCTGCAGTGCTCAAGCAGTGAGAAGAGGAGAATGGGTTTATGTTTTGAAGTGTGCAGAAAGTAAGAACGGCGGATTGAATATGTATCGTGAATTGTACGAACAATGTCCGAGTAATAGAGACTCATTTAAACTACACTTCTTAACTAATAGAACTTGTAACATATGCATCATCACAGGCCAAATGCGGACGGATGGTGACATAAAACATTAAAGATAAGAATGTTAAGATAGCATCAAAATGAAACATTTCATTCACCTGGTAAAAAGACAGGATTGTTTTTTGGGTGGTTATGATTTGCAGGAGAAAATGCACTTCTTGAAGATGTACGTGAAAATCGAATTTCCTCTTCTGCTGCAAATGGTTCAGGGCTGCTTTGTTCTGGAGACAAAGTGCAGTTTGGGTTAGTCTGACGTTTTGATGGACCTATACCACGATGGTGAATGGGAAGTTTTTCTGGAAAACATAAAATTTTAAATGATATTAAAAATATTCAATATTAAACTAAAAATTATTAAAAATATTATAATGATCAAAATGATATATATAAGTCTGTATGTGCATAAAAATTCAAATATAAGTAAAATAGATCGGTAAAGACAATATAAATAAATAATAAAAATGAAGAAATCGTATTAAAAATAAATAAAATAAATAATAATTACATATATAAAAATGAATAACAACATTAACCCACTTTTGTTTAATAGGCCAAAAAATGATATCACTTAGCTTCATCCATAGTTTATCTTCCTTGACACAGTAAAGTTTTAAAATATTTTACATTTCCTAATTCAAAAATTGAAAACTTAGGAATACTTTTTCTCCATATTACTAAATAAAATGTCCATACTTGCCTTGAAGGAACAAAACAAATAGGCATAAAAAATTTTCCTCGTCTTTTTTTTTCATACATACATGTGTGTGTGTGTGCGTGTTATTTATATATACTCAAATATTTAAGTAAATGCTCTTTTTATAATAAACAGTATTAATAACATTTACCAGCCTGAACATCCAAGAAATATGCATCCTCCAACAGGAATTGAACCTGTATCCTATGCAGAACCTTTGTAGCTGAACTGGTATAGCACGTCAGGCGATATGATGGTTTTATGTAGGATGCAGGTTCGATTCCTGTCAGAGGATGCATATTTTCTATAAGGTTTAAAATAATTGTCAGATTTAGTCCATTTCATGATATATATGTGAGGAACGAGAATACTTACCTCCCGCAAAGTGCATTTGCTTGGCATGTTAGGTCCTGTTGAAAGATCGCAACCGGCATTAAAAGAGAAATGGATTATTGTGAAATTCCTATGTCATGGGCCGATGTACAAAGGAAAAAATAAGACTAAGAATTCAAGCCTGCTTGAATTTATAAACCGGAAGTCTCGGGCGAACAAGTAGTAAGTCTTGTATGCAAATTTGAGTTGTCCCCAACACGGGCATAAATAGTGAGTCCCGGAGGAAGACGGCAGAAAACATTGTTGGTGTGATGGCGTATGAATTAATGAGACTGAGAGAATAAGAGGTCACTAGCAACAGCTCAGTTGGTTGACTGGAGGACTGGGCGAAAGCAAGCACTTTAATCCATTTCAGTCATCACAAACGACGGGCAAACTGAATTAACCACATATATATATATATATATATATATATATATATATATATATATATATATATATATATATATAAATATTTATTTGCAATATCCATTTCTTTAAATATTTTCATTTTGGTCAATCTACCTTTCTTAATTTTTCTTAAATCACTTTTCTTAAAGTTAATATTTTTTGTTCATTATTTACAACATTTACATGCAGATTACTCTCCGCAGAGTTTGTTTGTGTCAGCCAATGTGCCCTCCAGCTTTCATCATGTGTATGTTGATCCGGTTAACCTACAGGAAATTCCAAACTGAATCCATTATTTAATCTACGCAAATAGACTGTTCTAATTCCAAGTACTGCTCAGTTATTTATCATCCTGTTTCTCCTGTGTCTATATACACAGTGTGTGGCCCAGCGATTGAATTCAAAATTATTATGTCATCAAATCCACAAACCAAGACTTTAATTCACTTGGCTATTGTCCCATGGGACAATCCTGAGTGGAGAACTTGGAGCCTTAAACCTAACCTGACTGCTGATCAGTGCTGCTTGTCATGCTTGACTGGCCTACCTTTCTCTTCAGTTACAGATGCTGCTGTTGTAGTCTTGCTGTCATTCTTTCTTTATTAGAGGTACTCGTATTTATTTCTGTGTTAGGCGTACTAAAGAGGTCCTTGTAGTCTAGCATATGTGCTGATTCTTTCAGACATCTAACTCTTCAGTGTTTTTCCTGTGGCGGTAAAGCAATGACTCAACTGATAGTAGCAGATAGGAAACACGAAGAGGGTAACCGACAAAATAGTGTCACACTTCCAACCTTCTCACAAGCAAAAAACACGGTCCTCAGAAACAAAAACGCACTTGCTTTATACAGCCGAGGACCGACCATGATTTGCATGCGAATGACGAGACAACGAGATTTCGCGTTAACTGTCCGAGACGGCATAAAACATGGGCAGCACCATTTCGTTTATTTTTCCTGTTGAGCAATCAGAGTTTGCATGACGCACAGATTCGCGGGCGTTTCCGAGGTAGGCCATATTCACAATTTTCCCCACACTTCCTTGTCTAGTATTTTCACTTCATTCCACATAAGCCTTTTCCCTCCATACATGATCAGCAATACAGGATTTAATTCTCATACCTCACTACAGCTTTTTGAGATTCCTTCTAGTCTTACTTTTAGGAGGCGGCTTGTTTCTTCTTTATATACTTTGACACAACTGCAAGGAATGGTGTACATGTAGTCATTGGTCATGTGCTTTCTGGTGTTAGACTTTACTTGGCAGAGATTTCTACATGGAGTGGAGCTGCTTCTGAATATTGTCCCGATGTTGTATGAACTGCAGATCTTCTGAATCCTTTCTGATAAGCCCTGAAAGGTAGACACACTGGCAATTTTCTGATCTTCCTCCTTCACCCTTCTATTTCCATCTGTAGATGCTGATGCTATGTTTGCAAGGTAGTTGTGTTATATTTTCATAAAGAATAAAAAAAAGGAAACTAGCTTTACTGTCCATGTGACTTTTCACATGTTCCCATTCCTCTTTAAAAGCTGCGTTCTTCTTCCTTTGTTGATTACTGACTGCTGTGAATTAAGTTCAGTAAATTGTTACGTTGTTCAGAGAAGAAAGCTAGTATAGAGGATAACCTTTTCCTAAGTCTTTACTGAACTTAATTTGAAGGATACATTTGATTAACCGATGTTAATCTTTATATTTTTATATATATATATATATATATATATATATATATATATATATATAAGGATCTGCAACATAATAGGTCTTGACTTGGCATCTCGGCTTCAGTCATTTTCTCATAGACACGACATGGCTTTCCTCTGTCTTTTTCTATAAATATTTTCACGGCAATTGTTTTGATGAGCTATTTTCCCTGATGCCAGATTACATGAATTTAAACAGGCTACTTAAATAATGTAAACAAATGACGTCACACATTATGAAATGGACAAATTATTTTAAGACCTTTTTTATGTTTGGATACACATCATGCAGATATGAACGTACGAGAGAAAATCATGGAGAACTGTAGTCTAAAGACAGTAAAATCAACCTTGCTAACCGAACACTCCTCTGCAGCTCAATCAATAAAAGCACATCAGGCTATATGACAGTTTTGTATAGGATACAGGTTTGATTACTCTCGGAGGACGCATATTTTCTATGAAAATTTCTCGGACATACAGGCTGGTAAATGTTGTTAATACTATTTATTATAAACAGAGCATTTACTTAAATATTTGTATCTATAAAAAGAACGTATAAACATAAAAAAATGTCTATATATATATATAAAATTCTGTCAATAATAGTAATAGATTGGTTCACACTCCTTCCTAGACTTTTGAACATGAGTAAAGCTTTATTTCTTGTTTCCTGTTTAGGATTGAGTTTCAAGTTCTTTCTGAAGCCTTCTCATTCTTTTCCCATTCCAGTAGCCCCTTGTGTCTTAGTGGCATGGGGTGAATTGATTTAAAAAAAAAAAAAAAAAAAAAGAAGATAATAACATTAGTTTGGCAATGTCCTTTTGATGATGGAAATTTATTACACAGAATTTTTTCCATTTTGTCATATAATTACTCACCATTATTCTTATATATATATTATGAAATGGACAAAGTCTGGCAATTATTTTAATACATTTTTATGTTTATACATTCTTTTTTATAGATACAAATATTTAAGTAAATGCTCTGTTTATAATAAACAGTATTAACAACATTTACCAGCCTGAATGTCCAAGAAATTTTCATCGAGCAGATATGAATGTACGAGAGAAATTCATGGAGAATTGTAGTTTAAAAACGGTAAAATCAACCTTGCTAATCGAATACTCCTTTGCGGCTCAATAAGTAAAAACACATCAGGCTATATGATGGTCCCATATAGGATGTAGGTTCGATTCCTGTTGGAGGACGCATATTTTCTATGAAAATTTCTCGGACATTCAGGCCGGTAAATGTTGTTAATACTATTTATTATAAACAGAGCATTTACTTAAATATTTGTATCTATAAAAAAGAATATATAAACATAACAATGTCTTAAAATAATCATCAGACTTTGTCCATTTCATATTATATATTTCTAAAAAGAACAAATTAAAAACATAAATAAAGAGAAAACGTTAGTATACAAAAGAAACAAAAAAAAAAAAAAGGAAAGAAAGAATTATTTATGTGAAAATATTAGAATAAAAGAATAATATTTTAATCATTTCTGGTCATGTGGTCAGTCTTAGGGAAAGGGATCAGACCATTCTTGATAAGAGCTTTGTAGTGAGCACATGGCAAGGATTGTCAGCCTGAAGAAAGTCAGTGGGATGCAAGGATTTGTAACGTTTTCAGGATTTGGGGTCAGAAAGAAGCACACAGTTTCTACATTATTTTTTTGGAAATAACTAAAAGGAAAAAAAAAAAAAGCTAGAAATATTTGTTGAGTTTGTCATTTGCCTGGACTAGAAAAAAATTAATTTAAGAAAAGTTACACCCACGATTTGATTAAATAAAACCAAGAATGCGTTGCATAGATATACCAAGGTAGATTGTCATAAACCAATAATTTGATTTGCAATATTTATTATTCTAGGCACATTGTCCTTGTGAAGAAAATAACATCTTACCAGTAAAATGATTAAATGGATAATCAACAGATGCCCAGAATCGTTTCATCATCAGGTCAGGTGCAAGTTGAGCAGGTTTCAGTACAATGGCTTCTTTTTGTTGGTTACCACCTGCTGTCTGCAAAACAAGAGACAAAAGAAGCAAAGTTCGATGAATTAGACAAGCATCTTCAGTTATATTGTTTTGATCACTAAAATTATTTGGTGAACACTCCAGCTCCCAAATATTACTTAACACTCTCAGATTAAGGATTGTCTGGAATTATGAATACCGATTTTTAAGGCCTTCCTAAATTGGAAATTTGACTTCAAGCCACTTATATAACTTATAACATAAGAAAATAATTTGTGAAAAGTTACATCCATGTTTTGATTAAATGAAACTATGAATGCATTGGATAGTGCATATATATATATATATATATATATATATATATATATATATATTTGGTTGGATAGATGTGAGTTTGTGACCCTGGGTTTCACGTTTGAGCGATCGTCAGATCGTGAGTTTGTCTGACAATCGCTCAAGCGTGAAACCCAGGGTCACAAACTCACATCTATCCAACCAAAAATGTTAGCTCTATCTCTGATATTGAGTGCTTTCTAATAAGTACCGTGCATATAATATATAAATAATTATATATATATATATATATATATATATATATATATACACACACACATACACACAAGTATAGGATTGGTGTATACAGAATAAATTCAAATAACCAACTATTCTTAAAAGAGTGCTCAATACAGAGTAGAGCAAATATAATCATTTATTCCAAAATTATAACATAAAAATGTTATAAAATCACTATAAAAATAGCCATTTTGTTGCAACACTACTGGTGTCTTATCAAGTGATGGTGTTGAATGTAGATGAAAAGATTACTTAACTTTTTAAATATCGATGTTTCTTAGCAAAATTTCCAGTCATCAGGAGTAGTTGTTTTGAACCGTTCAAAACTACTACCACTGTGACTGAAAATTTTATAAAGAAACATTAATGTCGGCATAAAAATTGATATTTAAAAAGTAATCTTTTCATATATCATTAACGCTCTATTTTTAATATTGAGCACTATATATAAAAATATCTGCTGTTTTTATATATTTATATATATATATGAGGCAAAATTCACATACCATAGGGATAATTTATTAAAAGTATAATTACACATGAAAATTTTAATTTTTATGTGCTGTTCAAAATGGCCTCCTCCTTTTTTCAAAACACATTTCACTTCATTCATTAACATGTCAGAGAGTTTCATTTTTACTGCATTCATATTTAAATATTTCTTTAAGTTCCTTAATATTTCTTGGACATATCTGGTAAACAACTGATTTCAAATGTCAACAGGACCTATCAAAACAAATTAGACATTCAAAACATGATTAGCCCCTATGGTGCATGAATTTTGCCTCAACTTATGTGTGCATATATAAAGAAAACTGAATTTGTAAACAGTGACTATTACTGCTGCAAGACTCTTCATTAAGACGAATTGAGTTCTCCAGTCACTGGTGTGTTTATCTAAAAATAAATACGCCTAAATTTGCCTTCGTCTCTGCCGTGCACCAATGGCTTAGGATAGAATCTCTGACTGATACCAAATCAGTCAGGTTTCAATCCCGGCTTGAGGTAATTGGCTGTCTAGCCACACTGATGAGCTGTGAAACAGCAAAACGGTCTGTCTGCAGATGTATTGAGTTTTAAACACACATAAATTCATAATTATGAATTTATGTGTGTTTAAAACTCAGTAAATTTAAAAATAAGTTATTCCAATATTCGCTTGAAGATGAAATGGAACTAATGCTTTTAATTTAATTATATAATTAAATTTAAAGTTTTTAACTTCCATTTTTGAAACATGGTTATTACTGTGTAGCGAAAAACTGTATTTTAAATCAGTTAATTTATAATATTTATGCTCTGTAAATTTACATTGAGCACTGTTTTGTAAAAATAAAAAATAAGAACACTGGATTATATATCTTACTGTTATTTCTTTATATATTTGTTGGTTAAGTGGTATGTTAAACTGCATGACAATATTGTAGTAGTGAGACCAATGTATGTGTTTCAATTGTTATAAGAGAAGCATTCTCCAGTTGGACATTTGAATTCATAGACAATATTTGTTGGAGTTTTTTTTGTTGGTGATTATGTTGGTGGTTTATAGATTTTTGAATAAAAGATAAGTTTAATTTGTTTAATTTTGTCATTAGTTGATATGTATCTATAATTTTCCATCTACTTTTTTTGTGGTTACTGTGTAGTTGATTCCTGAAGAATAGTTTAATGTTTTTTTTTTTATTTTATTCTTATTTGTATTATTGTTTTTTTTTTTTTTTTTTTTTCTAATGTTAGTTTAATTTGTTTATTGATAAACAAGGGAGAAAAAATTAGTTAAATATCCTGTTGTTACTAAAACTGTCAACACCTTAAACACGTATCTCCGTGTTAAAAAATGCATCTCTGGAATATTTTAAACTGAAAATAATTTTTTTTTTTTTTCAAGTAAGAAGATTAAACAATAAATCAGCTAATATTCCGTAAATTTTTCTTTTTTTAAAAATTCATTTAGGTATCGTGTTTCTTAGATGGATAGGACAACAAAGGAGCAATTCAGTGGTCATCATGACCACCAGACTTTTTCTTGTGGGGTAGGGATTGAAAGATCTTGTTTATGAAAATAATTTGGTGGTTTAACATATTTTGTGGTTTTCAGTTAAAATTTGTTTGATAAAGTTTCAGTACACAATCTTTAAGTTATAAAAAAATGATAAAGAAAATCATTGTTTGTGATCAGTTAATGCAAGCATGATTAACACTTAACAGACTTTTTCGTGTCTCATACTAGGGTTGCTTAATAATTGCAATCAAAATTTTGTTTTAACACTCACAGGACACGCTAAAGGCGGGCTTATGTTAGAGAGTATCACCCAGACGAGGCTCTGCCGAAGGGCAGAGTCTCGTCTCGTGAAACTGACTCCGTTTTTACGTGGTCTCTTGGGAATTTATGCCCGAGCCTACGGGCTCGGTACCCCACTTTAAACTCGGCCTTGTGCCACATCTTGCTGCGTGGGGCAGCGAGTAAATAATTTTTTTTTAAGGCGAGAGAGAGGAAAGCAGTTCATAACTTGTGTGATTAGCAGAACAGAGATTAGAAAAGATAGCAAAAAAAAAACAATTTACTACAAAGGACAGGAAATTGTGGAGAGCCATAGTTGCCAACGTTTTGAATGGGCATGGTACATGAATGTCCTGTGCGAAGAATATTAAATCCAGGTTCAATGTAAGGACAGATAACTCTACTCTTCCTCATTTAATCCTCGGCTTATTTCCCCTGATTACCATGGTAACCCGATGAAAACATAGTTGTTCGTTCTTTTAATCAGAATGTTTTGTTTTTTGTAGTAAATAAAATTGTTATTAATTTATGCCTCTTCTATTGATTGTTTTCACGATGTATTGAAAACGTTATTTATCTTGGGAAAAAATCGTATTTTGTTTAAATTTTGACAAAAACTGACATTTCAAGATTTTAAACAAGGGAACGAGCTAAAAGAAGAAGCAAGCACACACAAAAAAAACTAAAAAACACAACAACCTTGACAGAGATTATTAATTTTATACTTTGTAGTATTTCAAACTCCCTTTTTTACATACTGTACTGTATACAAAGTATTTTTTAAAAATCTAATATTTCTGTTAATTTGAGAAAAGACGTTTTTTTGAAAAGCATAATAAAAGTTACTGCTTAGCTTTTAGGACTAGATTTTTTTTTAAAAAGAACAAACCTTTTTCTTTTGTTTGAATAACTATGCACCTGGTGTATCAATAATTTTTATTTAAAAAAGTATCCTGAGTATACGGTGATTTTACCAAAAATTACTAAAACACATGCACAAAACAAAACATATTTATTTTTTAAGAAGTATATAGTTTATAATACGAAAGATTATTATTAGGTAATTAATTTTATTTCCTATGTCGCGTTTAGCAGTTTATTTTTTTTGTGTACACTTTAAGTGTTACAATTCAGAGTTGATTTTTTCAGTAAACGTGTTCGAAATTTTTTTAAGCATGAAATTCTTCAAAGACTTCTGCTTTTTTGTTTTAAACTAATATAATAATTAATGCTAAGCGTTTAATTTCCAGAGTTTTCATAAATAAGGGGTTAACTAACAGATGTAAAAAAAAAAATAAATAAATAAAAATAAATATTTAATTGTGACTTTAAAAAAAAACAAACACATATTCAAAATAATTTCATTACATATTTCAATTAATTGCGAATAAGTTTCTTTAACTTCTTTTTTATTATTGCAAGATTTTCCAAATGAATATCTATCACTGCAAAAAAACGTTAAAATTTGCAATGTTATTTCAGTTTCAGTAGTTCCGCTGACGCAAAGAAAAAGATGTTTTAATTAAAAATGTTAATGTTCTGAAAAGGTTGGAAAAATTTAATAAAATAATCAAAAAATACTTTGGCCTTTCCTCTTAATAACAACAAACATTTTATTTTTGTTTGACGATAAATTCTATTTTCATCAAGTTTATGGTCATTTTTAAACTCTATTTTTCTTTTAGAGAAACCGTGATGTTAAAAAACAAAATTCACTTAACGAAAAAAATGAATTTATGTTTTAAGTACAAAAATGTTCTTTAATTTCAACCAAATTTCTCAAATTTTGTTATTTAAAAATAAATGTTTATAATCATAAAAAGAAAAGAACGAAAAAATGTATAAAAAAGAAAAAAAGAAGCTTTTTTTTAGTCTCTAAGGTAAAATTAAAAAAAAATATTGCAAAATGAAAACAAAATCTTCAAATTTCGTTAATCAACATGCATTTTTAGTTTTAGTTTTTGTCTATTGACTTACCATTTGAAAAATAAATTGTTTTATTTTATCAAAAAAAAAAAAAGAAGTTTTTCCTTTTTTTAAACATAAAATAACGAGGGCCATTTTTTTCAGTTTTGTTATGTTCGTTGTAAAAACGTACGATAAACTCTTTGTTTACTAAACAATAAGAAACTGTACTTTAGTGTTTGAAATATACAAAAAAAGGAAAGAAATATATCTTGTCAATAAGAAATTACCTCTTTTGAGTGGAAGGCAGGCCTGTTTCTTGTTCGGTTGGACATAATTGAATATTTCTTTTATTTTTCTGTACTTTGATGAAGTCTTGTTCGCAATAGGCAGGTGCTCGCCGGAGAGAAGCTCTCAATGTGGATTTACTACTCTACTGTACTATATACTCGTGTTAAATAATTGATTACTTACTACGTATTCGTAAACTTTTAGATTCAACAATATTTTTTTTTTATTTTTTCCCGCTATTGAAAAAAAGAAGCTTAACACACGCCATAAAACATTTGTTGATGATTCCAACTTCACAACTAGAATTATTCAATAACTTCGGGTTGATGTCGGTCAATGAAGATTTTATTGTTCGTATATTTTATTTTATTTTTGCATTCATTTGTTAGAATGTTTGTTTTTATAACGTATTTTTTTTATAATGAATTGTTTTTAGATAAAAGGTCCTAGTTTTCTCACGTACTCGCGAAGAAATTTGTAACTTAGAATTTTAAGTTTGAAATAGTTGAACTTGAATATTAATTAAAAAATTACTCTAAAAATTTCCGTTTATGAATCATCATGACATAATTCAATTAAGGTAGAGAGAGACTACACCACAACTGACATCTTGCCGTCAAATTAAAAAAAAAAAGTCAATTTTTATTTTTTTAACAAAATTTCATAAAAGCAACCATTGTATTTTAATTTTTATTTTACTTGTTCTACCAAATTTTGACACATCCGTCTTCTTATTGAATTTATCCTTTGCCTAAAGGAAGAATAGGTGTTTCAGTTTAAAGGACATATAGAAACATAAGAAAAGTGTAAGAACTTATTAAATTAATTATTAAATTTATGAAATGATGTATCTGTTTTTTTTTTACGTTTTTATCACTCCATAAATGCTTCAGGGACTGACGTTTGTTTATGCATTCCTGTTGGAGTGGTAGGTGAGTTGAAAAACGTGGTTAATTGTCATTCAAATTAACTTGTGGCGGCCGAATTTATATATGAAGACGTTTTAATAGTCACGTGACCCTTGAAAAGAGTTTTACGAACTTTTAAAAATCCTAACGTGTTTGTGTTTCTTTTAATTTCATTATGTTGTCTTTTTGTGGTTAAGACCTTATGTGGGTAAGTAGGTTATTTTTTTTTTTTTTTTTTGACCAACGTCCGTTGCTTTCATAAGGTATACTTGTTTTAGGTCTATATTGGTCTTGTGTAAGGTGATTGAAAAAAAGTAACTCCCTATTTTATGTATGATGGACTCTCCCGTCTAACTACAATTTTTACAAGACGGGAGATTCCATCATACATAAAATAGGGAGTTACTTTTCAATCACCTTGTACATAAAAGGCGCTTCCATAAAAATCAGTATCTAAAATAATGCGTTTTTTTAAATGAAAAATTTTCATTGAAGCTTTATTTTAGTTTTTTTTAATTTAAAGCAAAAATGGATTCAATTTATTATTTCCAATAAGCAAAAAACTTTGCTGTATCTAAAACTGAATTATTATCAGTAAAAACGCTAAAATCGTCCATATTGACATATCTGTCAACACAAGGTAATTTTCTTTATTAAAAATCTTTCAAAAATAAAACATAATTTCCTGAAACCTTACTCGTGGAAGATTAGCTGATTTAAAATAAATTAATCTAATTGGTAACAAATATTACTTTTAGTTTAAAATATTGCAAAGAAATATGGAGGTGAGTATTTTTATGAGATGTTGACCACACTCTCAATAAACTTAAATTTGGGAATTGTTTCTAAGGGGAAGATAACTGTATCAATTACTTGAATATAATGTGAATGCCTTTTTATATAATATTTTGCCCCCCAATCATTTAACCAAATATATAACTCCAGTCATCAGTCCTCAAGTTCCATCAGACTGTTGTGGTTAGTGTTTAGCTGACTCTTCACTCATTTGCATGTGACTTGTTTTATTGCTGGTATTGTGATGATAGGCACTGTTCCATTTGACCTAGCTGGCGTTTGTCTGTTCATGACAACTCCTCTGTCACATGTTTTTGATCTCAGCAGATAAGAAGATCGCTGATGAAGCAGACTGAAGTGAGGACTTGTCTGACAGCTGGAGCTAGATGCAAAACAAGAATCCTTTGAAATAAAGAATTAACTTGGGTTAAAAATGTAACAACAATTTGGTTTATATATGATTTGTTGTAGGCCATGGTTTTAACCCTTCCCACTTGTTATGATTAAATGACACTGGGATCACCTTCAGATTCTGCAGCTTATATTTGTTCAGAGGAATTGTGGATGTTATTTATTTCAGCAACCATTCTGGTCTCTTTATTGACAACATGTTTTTATTTTATCTGACATCTTCATGGATACTTTAATGGTCTCTTTCTTATCAGCAGGAAGTGGGGAAGGACGGGTAGTCTTGGTTTTGCTCAATCTTACTGAATTCTATCTAGTTAGATTTGGGTTCGATTCTCCTTGGAATTATTTCAAAACATGATTTATAAATGCATTTTGTTTTTAATTTTCTTCTCAACCTTTCAATCTATCTTTGTGCGAATTTCAACAATTACCATCCAGTTAGTAAACTCTCTCCTTTCTTTCTCTTTTTATGTTTGATCAACCTTCAGAGATCTCTGTGTCACATCTTAACTATCCAGTAATCATAAAAAATTAAGAATGTTTTAAGCAATCTAATATTTTATGGAATTTTAGGTACTTTGGCTTTATAGTTTTGTTGAAAGGTTGAGGAAATGTTTGAAAATGACCAACAAATTTTGACTTTATTATAGTTATGACACTTATTTTCTGATAACATCATGTTTAGACATCTGAGGGTTACTCCACTTAGCTTCACCAAAAACACCCATTAGGTGGTGCTATTTAAGTTTATAAAAAGATAAATATTTCCTTCTCTTTCTCCTCTTGTTTCCAGATGTAGGTAAGGACACATTTGCTTCTTTGATCCTCTCACAAATTAAATCTCACTCACATACAAATACACGTGTGTGTAACACATACACACACACACACACACACACACACACATATTATTATAGTAGTTGTAATGTCTTTTCCTTTGATTTCCGTTGTGTACACATGTAATTCCTTTTGATAATAATGTGCATTAATTGTGGTTTGTTTTAAATTCCTTGTATTGTGTTTCTTATTTTGATCCAGACTCAAATGAGTCTACCAAATATTTTTTTTTTGCGGGGGGACAAATGTCTCAGCAGCCGTTAAATGTTAACTTACAAAACAACCACGCCCTGCAACCAAAGAGGTAACTCCCACATCATCATACTTTCTACATCCAACCTCAGAAATCTGTTACATTTATAGCCACAAACTGTTTCCCTATCCATAAAAGTTTCTACATTGATACTTTTGAACCAGATTTTCATCTTTAACATGATCCCAACATTTCAACTGCTTTACTGGTTTTCTTCAGGTGCCTGTTTCAATCAGTAACCTTTCAAAAATATAGAACACAAACCTTTTTGTAACACCTATCCTGACCCCACTGGATTGATGTACTCTACAAGACTGGCTGTTAGTTCTGTCCTGATCCAGTATTACAGGTCCAGTCAAAGTCTCCAGTTCACAATGTCGATTCGATTCCACTTTCCAACCACATTGTGATTTTTGATTCTGGAGAGCAATTAACAAATCGTAGATCCCGGAAGATTCAGCTGGTCTACCTGCAAGTTTGTTGGGGCGAGAATCGGGCCAAGCAGAAAAGTAAAATATGAACAAGTTGATTTGAATCCAAAGAAAATTTTATGTATATAAGGAAGAAATTGGTACAAAAAGAATTATGCTTTTTTTTTTACAAGAAAGTAGTGTACATGAAATAAAGTCCAGAAAGAAAACGAAAAAAGAAAAACAAATATTGCAAATAATTCCGAAAGGAAAGAAGTAGTTTTCAGGTTCACCCCCTTTTGCTCTTTGTAGTGGCCATAATTAATTCACTCAGCAAGCATTAACCTTATCACAGCAGCAAATGGATGCTTTCACTCTTGTTGACTGCTACTTCGACTCTACTCCAGCTGACTTGACTCTCTGACTCTCTCGACTGACTGTTTTCGCACAAACACATGCTTAAATAAACGTGGTGGTATCAACAAAAACTTAGATTACAACCTGATTACTGACCTCTCCCCCTCATTATCAAATGAGCAGTCTTTTCTTCCCAAATGGTATTCCATAGGTCATATAAACACTATTGTTTTGACATTTTATATTAATTATTCTGACGAAGCACAGATCCTCATCTATAAACAAAATTCTATATTACTATAATTATTATTTCCGGGGTGACTAATGCTCTCCACTACAATAATACCTCATCTCAGAGATATAGACAGATATTGAGGAATCATTTTTATAATCATCTAAGCTATTGCAGATGACTTCAGTTCACTTCCTCTCTTATTACAGCAGAAAATGGACACTTTCACTCTCACTGCCTATCCCTCTCTCTCTGGTTACCTGCTTTGTCAACTCACTTCACCCAGCTCCAATTCCAACTGTTTTCACACAAACAAAATGCTTAAATAAATGCGGTGGTAGTGACAAAAACCTGGGGTATTGGTAAACTTAGAACCTGATTACTGACCTCTCTCACTTCATGATTAAATGAACAGTCTCTTCTTCTCAATTGGTATTCCATACTTCATATAATCACTATTGTTTTAACATTTTATATTAATAATTCTGATGAAGCACAGATTCTCTGGGAACAAACTTCCCCACAGATTATCTTTCTCATCTATAAACAAAATTCTAAATTACTATAATTATTAATATTTCAAGGGTGACCATTGCTCTCCACAACAATTTAATCCAAAATGTTCGTTCATTTCTATATGTTTCATGTTAGGTTTAATTTTTAGAAAATATCAAATTGATTCCAATCTTTGATTTTTATGAATATGCGTTATATGGTATTGAGATAGTGAAAGATGCCTTCCAAATGCTAGGCAAAATATTAAGAAAGAGGAAAATTTTGTGAGCAACAAAGAAAAGAGTACTGAACTGTAATTTAATATCAGTCCTCCTATATGGCAGTG